CTGAGTGCAACCATGCCTATTATAGGGACTAATTTCACCTGAAACAAGAATCCCTAAAAACCAAAACGTAACCCTAGCTATGGTATTTTGGAGTATAGGTCAGATAAATAAAATTGAATAATGCCAATAGTTTGGAAATGTTATGAGGATTTCAAATATACTAACAATTTGCTCAAATGATGCAAGAATGATGATTTACGAATTCAAGAAAGAAGCGGATTATCGTGGTACTTACAGTGTGTTGTGGTGTCTGAGAATGATTGCTTTTGATCCAGGAAGGTTGAGTGAACACCCAGGAAGAGATTGGGACCGGTCTAAGCTTTTGAAATTGCCTCTAAGTACGATTTTGATTTCAAGCTTTTTAGTGAATTTTGCAACTTTGGTATTGCCTCTTTCTGCAGCCTCTCACCCTTATTCACGTCCCTTTGGCTTGTTTATGTAGTGTGGAATGTATTAGGGTAACAATTTTTGGCTTGAATCTTCTCCCATCAATGCTTGCCAATTTGATTTGATTCACCATTTACAAACTTTCCAAATTTGCCTAAAATCAATCTTTTTGCACATGATATTGTATGATTCGAGTTTGATGATTATCATGATGATAATTAAGACTTGAAACAGCCAAACAATCTTAGGTAATCAAAGTTTGGGATTTTATATGATTTATTTTGATTTAAAATGAATAAAATCAATAAAAAATCAAATAAAATAATAAAAAAGAGATATGGGCTCATGGCTGAAGCTAGGACACGTGGACAATGATGCAAACTCAAATCAAGTGGAAAAGAATGGGCCCATTTGAAAAAATTTGATGTTTTGGGGATAGTTGACTTTTGGCAATTTTGCAAAAATGTCCAACTTCAACAATGCATAACTTCTTCAATTTTGAACTTTTGGAGGTGTTATTAGACTTTTTAGAAAGATTGAGATGTCCTATAACCAACCCTTTTGGTCTCATCTCATTTTTATATTCCATGCTCAAGTTATAAGCTTTGACAATAAATGTGTTTTTGTTGACTTTCAAAAATGACCTATAATGTCCAAATTTATAACTTCTTGTGAGTGCATTTTCTGATCTTGGGGTGTGAAGATGGATTGTAGGAAATTGCATCCTCTTCAAACTGAGCTTTTGATGGATCATTTCTCATAAATTATGAGAAAGTTATGCTTGGTCAAAGTTGAGTTGACTTTTCCTGCAAATCCCTAATTTAGCAACTTTTGAGTCTTGACGAATTTTGAGCAATCCTTGATGAATCATGATCAAACCTTGATAAAATAATGAAATATCCTTCAAAAATGAGAATGTTGACAAAAAAATCTTGAAGTTTGACTATTTATAGGTCACAGTTGACTTTTGCCCTAGCACAGTCGATTTTTGGACCCTTTGAGCAATTGACTGAGCAAACTTCTTCTGCAAGGCTTGAAACTTGACATGGATGACCTTGAGAATATATTAGGACATTGGGGAGAAATTGATGTCATTTGAACTTAAAGATCTTGATGCAACACAAAATCCTAATTTGGGGTTGACTGCCTTAGGAGATGACTTGTCTGACCCACTCTTGAGCAACCTTGAGCCACTTGGAAATTTTCCTTGCAATGTTTTGAGAAATATGAGAGGGCAAATTTTGGGGTACAACATTGAGTATTGCTTCCAATCCCCCGACTTGATCGTTAGGGTCTGTAGCGTCATTAAAAGTGGCCAGTGGCGGTGTTTTTTCCATCCTAGTGGGAATCGAGGTCTCGATGATCGTTCATGACAGTGAATCGAGGGGGTTGTCCTCACCGCTTCGGTCGGGAGAGCGCGACATGGAGGAGTCAAACCGAGGGCCCTTTCGGCGTGATAAATCTCTTGGTAGACTCTTTTGTTTTTCTGGATGCCCGTCGACCTTGTTCCTCTTGGGAACTGGGGATCTTCACTCTTTGCCCGATGGAGTTTGATCGTGCTTCTTGGCGACTTCCAGTTGCAGTCTCTCTAGCCAGGGCCCCCGCCCGGTTTGACGAAGAGAGAGGCTCTTGGATTCGTCCCGTTGGTGTCTCCGTGGAGGAGAACGAGAACATTCATTTTTCTGTTGCGAAGTCGGACTGCGGGATCGTTGACCCTTCTCTAGAACTTTGTTGCGGTCGTTTTGCTGAGAGATAAGATAGTTGGTGTGATTGATGGCCGTGAACAGGGCCACAATGGTGGGGTCAACATTGGCGGGCATAAGGATTTTCTGATACTCTCCAAGATGGTCGACCTGCTGATGCGTGTCGAAGGGATGTTCCTTGGACGAGGAAGATGCAGTTCTTCCGTCCCTGGGGTCACCCTGCTCGTGACCAATTGTTCCATTGTTGTTATGGTCTCCGTCATCGACGGAGACAATTTCGTTGACATTGTCGTCATTGTGCTGGCTGGCCATGATGATCAGAAAGATGAAAGAATTTGCTTTGGTCTTGTGTTAGAAGATGACGGGGAAGCAAGTTGTTCCCACATACGGTGTCATTGGTCGTACTTGACAAGAATGGATCTTCAGCGGCCTACAACACTTGAATTTCTGAGGTTGTTGAAGAGAATTGAGGGGGGGTACCTGCAAGACACTCCGATGGCAAAGTAAGGTTCAAAGCAAAGTGCAAGTATAGAATGAGTAGAAAAAGTGTACCTGATCCTCTAGTGAAAGAGAGTATTTATAGCCCTAAACGTTGGGCCAATATCTCCATTTGATCCGGATGCCCAGTCTCATAATAGAGACTGTCAGGATGCTACATGGGTGGAGGAGACCAGTTCGTGATCTTTATCCTGGTTCAACTGCCCCGTGATTCTCGGAGGTGAAGACCCATTCTTTTCGGAAGCAAAGTGACTCTGATATTCGGGAGCAGGATAACCCCGTGATATTCGGAGGATCGTTGTTCATGTATATGGAGGAGTCGTCTCCGACGAACATGCGCGGGGAAGAGATCCCCGACGGGAAAGTATGAAAGATGTTCTCCAGCTGTCATGGCAATCCGGGCCACTGAAGTGGACCCTCCTCACGGTAGTACTGGATTGGACTTACCCGACAAGAGACTAAGTGCATGCTTAATCCACAACAAATTATTGAGCCTCTTGTAATATCAATCTTGCCCCACAACAGACTAAGCGCATAACCAGTCCATAACAATATATATATATATATATATATATATATATATATATATATATATATATATATATATATATATATATATATATATATATATATATATATATATATATATATATATATATATATATATATATATATATAATTTTGTGTCACTTTTATTATTTTATTTTTTAGAGGCTCTTTTAATTAATAAATTAAGTACATGATAATAACACTCATAGCAACTTTCTATATTATACATGAATATCTTTACTAATGATTCAAACATTTTTATAAATAATGTTTAAATAAAAATAATATTTATAAATAATTTTTGTCTGATTTATATTTTTATTATATTTTAAAATAGTTATATTATTGATTAAAATATTTTTAATACGGAAGTAAATTTTAAAATCAATTTATTATCTTTTTAAAAAATAATAAATTATTTTGATTAGATAATTTTGTCATTTTTCTTATTTTCTTATTACATTTTGAAAATAAAAACGTGCGTATCACACCGGTACATGTGCAAATGCACTAGTAACACTCCAACACTCTGTGAACGCACAGATAATTATATTAAAACTGTGCGAATGCACGAGTTTTAACTTTTTTTTTTACAATTAAAAAAAATAAAAATAAAATTTATGTCAGCTACACTACCGACTTTTTCATTTTTTTAAATATATTTTAAACCATAGTACACCGCTTAATAAATACAATACCAAACTTAATTCTTTTAGATCATTCTCTTTTTGAACTTTTATGTAAAATTATTTTTCAACTAATTCTAATTTTAGATATTTATTTATCTCTTTTATTAAATTTTACAAACTCTTTTATTATTACAACTCTATCAACCCTACAAAAATATTTTTGTTCTATTTTTCACAATTGTTTTCTATATAGTATGTGTTTAACCGTTTTTCTTAATAGTTGTTTTTAAAAATTTATACAATTGTCTTTCAATTTATTTTTTATTTTTTATTTTTATTATAAATATTTTGATATTTTCTAATTTATTTGAAATTCTATAAAGAGCTGATGACAATTTTACGGTCCACACCAATATCTAGGCGGACCCACGAATATTCTACTGATTTATATAAAAGAAAATAGAGTCACAATTTATTACTTGTATGCTTCTATTTCAATAATCCAAATTTATTTAAACACAAAATTGGTATTTATTAAGAAATAATTTAAAGAAAAAATAATAATATACACATATTATTATTTTAGAGAATACTTTTTAATTTATTATAAGTTTAATTTAATTTTTAATAAAAATTATGGAATAGTGGTGATAATGAATAATTCAGATTTGTTTTTGTCTTTTTTTTATTTTCACTTTTTCATATAAATAAGTATTTTTCATTTACACTAGAATTTAAAAAGTCATTCGTAAATACCGCTGGCTCTCAAACAATTTGTGTTCATTTTGAATAAACAAAACCCCATGAATGGTAAGGAACATACTTGTACATACATTACTACTATTTAAGGAAAACAAATAAATAATTCTAAATTAAAACCATGAGTGACCTATCTAATTCACAAATTTATTAATTAAAAAGCTTTAAAAATCAATTACTAGACACAAAATTAAGCCACCTATCTAACTACTCATTCGTTTCCAGAACAACTTTAACAAGAATGATAAGATATGTTAATGTTAATATACAACTAACAAAAATAAATTACAACACAAACAACCAAATAATAGTTACAATTTTTTCCTCATTATGGAATTAACTTTAGTTGTAACATTGTCAACATTTGCAACTTAACTAATTTACAAACATTGATATTTAATAGCAACATCCTTAAATTTATCCAATGCATTCAAATTCATCATCAATTAACTAATATCCTTAATTCTTTCTAATCATGTATTTCTCATCTCCTCAAGTTGAATCTAGAATCGAATTCACACCTATTCCTCAAAATGATAATGATCAAACGTTGAATAATAACAACAATCGTGGTCACGTTCCTGTCAATAATATTACTAATCGGCATATTGTAATCAAGCCTATTGAAGAGCCTTTTGATTGGGATTTCTTAGTTATAATGTTACGTTTGGCCTTGGTTGGAACATTACTCGTTGGTGTTTCCTTACGAGAAACAAGAATAGACAAACCAAAAACAATTTTATATCCACCAAGAATCTTCATCGACAAGCTTCACATTCCTGAAATCAAAATCATTGATGGTGAATTATCGGCTATATGGGAAATAACGTTAACTATATCTAACGTTATGAACGCGTCGATAAACATAGAAAAACTCGAAACTAAGATAAGTTACAAGGAAGATGACATATTGGCATGTAAAACTCCAATAGAGCCACAATATAAATTACCTAGCCCGGGTTTGCCTTTGATAGGGAAAGATTCGAAGAAGGTGCATTTTAAATTGAATACAACAGGTTGGGATAAGGATCAACCAATTGTGGATGATAGTGTGATTCAATCTATTGAACAAGATATGCAAAAAGGTGTTACTAGGTTTAGTTTGCATATGATGGTTGTGGGAGAAGTTGAATCTAGTGATGGATGGGTAATACCTTTTGGTATGTTCCCAATATGCAATACTTTGGGAGTTAAATTTGAAAGGGATGATCACAAAGGTGAGACAGGTACAATGATTGTTTCCAAGCCTATAGAGTGTTTAGGTATGGTTGAATGGGAAGAAGAAAGAATGGCGATTAATAATAGGGATGAGTGAAATTTAAATAGAGGATGCATGATTTGTTATAAGCACATATTGTTTTTGATTTTTGTACAAAATTTTATGTATTGTTAGAAATGAATATTATAATTCTTTTTTTTTCTTCTTAATTTATTTTTCATTTATGATTTTTTTACCGAGTGTATTGTGTGAGAATGCTTTTTAAAGGCCTGGCTGAGATTTCTTGTGAGAAAAATGTAGTAGATGCATGGATATGGAACTATAACCCATGTGAATGTTTGTAATTGTTGATTTCTCCGATTAATTTTATTAAAGAAGAATGATATGGCACGTCAAATAACAATTTTGGTGATTGAACATACACATGATAACACCAGTGTGACAAAGATGCTGACATGACATGTCACATGAAAATCTGACCATTCAAGTTAATCGGACTTTAAACACGCTTCCTAAAAAAATGAAGATTTTTTGAAGTGGGATGAATTCAATATAATTTTTTAATCGTCAATTTTTTTTTTATGAAATACAAATAAGCAAACCTTGACCTTTGATTGAATTGAACACTATTTTTTTATGCAGAGACTTCCTTTTCAAAGTTTCGTGGTATTTTGAAAAAGTCTCAATTTATTTTAATTTTTAGTTCACAACATATATAAATGATTTTTTTAAGAGGTAGAAACATAGTAAACATAAGCATACACAACACACTTTGATCTAATATTTTTTATAAAGAATTCTTTGACAACAAATATAGAAGAATTACAAAGTTTATTCTTCCATTCTCTCCTCTTTTTTTGGGTTTATTCTCTCTTTTCCCATTTTCTTTAGAAAAAATAAAATGCAGTGGTGATTTTTATTTGATATGTACGAGTTAATTCAATCCAATGACTTAGTATCAATATTTCTACCACTACAGGTATATGGGTCTACCCCATACCTCTATCACTAGATATCAAGAGCTGGTAAAGAAGCTTGTGCACCAGTTCGCCGCCAGCCGTAACAGGAAAATGTCCACCACCAGCCTGTTCAACATATGCTAGGATCCATCGGAGTCGCTGAGGGACTACCTCGCCCAATTTAATGAAGCAACCATCAGGATCGTCCCACCAAACCAAGAGATATTTGTGGGGACGTTCTAAAATGGACTTAAGGTGAGACACTTTAAAGAGTTTCTCACCCAAAAGCCAACAATCTCGTTGGCAGAATTGTTCACCAGAGCATAATGCTACGTAAAGGATGAGGAGATCAATGCCGAAAATAAGACGCATGATGTTATGGAGCGTGTTCCCAACGTCGAGGGTTTACACCACCAGAGGGAGAATAATTATACCTATCGCATTAAGTACAAGACTGAGTTCATGAGGGTAGGAAAAGCGATAGAGAACTTCATGCCCTTGAACATCCACCATGAGCATATCTGGCGCGAGGCTCTTCATATATACAACATTCCTATGCCACCTGCTTCAAAAGAGAATGTAATGGTTCTTAAACTAGGAAGATGGTGCAAGTTCCATAAAGTTAAAGGGCACCACACTGAAGATTTTTTCCAGCTCAAGAGGGAAATTGGGAGCCTTATTGGAATAAGTTTTGTTCGTCAACTAATCCTTGTAGTTTTGATGATAACAAATACATTTGTATGAAGAACAATGTTTTACTCTAACGGTTTATTTACGTATGCAGATTATATTCATAGATTATAGACTCCGAGCATGCAAGTTGTGGACTCTGAACAAGTGATGTTCTGGATTCTGAATGAAGCAACTATGGACTATGGGCAATCTAAATGCACTCCGAGCCATTAAAGAAAGAAGTGTAACCTTCTTCTACAAGTATCCATTAAACAAATGAAAGACTCTATCCAGATTGACTTTGATAACTCAAGGATCTAAAGACTCAGAGTTTCTCAAAGCACTGAAGACTTACTCTGATCAAGCTTCATCCAATTCTATCAGAAGCCTTTGACTCAATTGGTTAGAAGTGAAAAAAATGGTAACTCTAGACTCTGATCAAGGTTCACCAAATTCTATCCGAAGCATCTGATACAAAGAGATTACTATGTAGAAAGATAGTGTGAAAATATTAAATTAATACAAATCAATACCCTTTCCACTACCTCGTGAGATGGGACAAAAGGATTATTTGTCAGTACCAGCTTTTTCAATACGTCCCATTATCACCTTCCACTATGCTGCCACCACCACTCTACTACTATACTACTCAACGTCTTCATGTAAGTTGTGGATTATGAAATTCCAACTTCACCCTAAAATGGATCTATATCATCTAAATAAAGTAGCGTTTGAAGACATGGAAAGGAATAACAATAGATCTATTTTCATATATATAAAGGAGCGTGAAATGCCGAAATAATATACTAAGAAGTTAAGATAAACACTTAGAAAAAGTCGAGCATCAACACAGAGAAGAATGTTGTTATTTTATTAAAATCTTCATAACTTTCATTCGTTATAAATCTCATTGTATTGTAACTGTGTGTATAAGCTTTCTAATAAGAATTTTGTAACACAAAATTTTGTAAGTTAACCAAGTTAGTTAAATTTCCTTAGGGGACTAAAGGTTTAGTCAGGATCCTCGAGAAGACTTAGACGGTTTACCTTTGTTGTTGTAATAAAAGGGTATTTGATTAGTGGATTAAGTCCTTGTTGATAAGGAAAAATCACCTGGGTAGGGTGGACTGGAGATAACCTAGTTATTAGTGAACCAGGATAAAATCTTGTATTCTTTATCCTTGCTATCATTATTCGTTTACGCTTGGGTGTTCAAAAAAACATTAAATCTTGAAAACCAATTCAAACCCCCCCAATTCTTGTGTTTCTGTGAACCTTCAAGACCAATCTAGGAGGGACACCTTAAGAAATATGTGAAGGCAGAATCTTGCCACGTGTCAGAAAAGTCTAACTCGCGAGGGAGAGATGATGTCAAAAGCCTCAAGACCAACAAAGCAAAATAGGTATCTCAAGGCAAGGCTAGTAAAGCTGCGTGCCACACACTTAACACCATAGTAGGAGGATTCACCGGGTGCAGGGAAACTAGATCCGCCCGTAAAAGGTATGCTAGAAAATCCTGAGAATAGAAGATCTCCCAGACGTCGAGATTGAAGGTGAAACCCAAACGTAAGGGGCCATGATCACATTCTATAAGAATGATGCAAATGGTATATACCTTCACAATGATGATCCCATGGTCATTACTGTCAAATGCGTCGAATAAGATATTAAAAGAGTTCCCGTTGACCAAGGGAGTTATGCAAACATTATGTACTGGGGGATTTTGAAAGACTTCACTTTGACCCAGAAGACTGAGAAAATGTACAAGTAAAATGATACATCACCTTGAAGATCACTTTTCGAGAGAAGGATCAAGCCAAAGAAATAAAGTTTAGGTATTTGATTATTGATGCCTCCTCTTACTTCAATATAATTATAGGGAAACCAAATTTTAACCAGCTGGGCGCCGCCTTATCCACTATGTTTTTATGCATAAAGTATCCATTCCCAAATTGGAGAGTAGGAGTTATCCAAGGAGATTCCTTGGAAATGTTATGTAGAGAGCCGTAAGTTTAATAGGGCTTGCGCTCACAAGGTGAGCTATTGGATTTTTGTAAATTTTAAGAATATTCCTAGGGTCATAGACCGCTTTTGACATTTCACCACAAGTATGGACTAACCAATTTATGGTCAAATCCTAAAGGGTCTCCCTTAGGAGGAATATCGGTATTGACCTAGCGAGAGGTTTTACCCCGTAGGCCATACTGGGATTCCAAGTTTAAACTTTGAAAAAAAGGGTCATAAAAGGTCCCTAGAGTCATGGACCATGCGTGAGCCTCGCCACGACTATAGACTAGTCATGACCAAATCATCAAACATATGGTCTCTAGGCAGAGTCTTCATAAAACACTCATTAGAATGTGAATCCCACAAGCCGATACGACGTGACATCCTCTCTAACTTATTTTTTCTCGCTCTGGTGTAGAGCTTTTTTTTTCCACGGAATCCCAACCCAACAGTATGATATATGAAATTAAAATGATAAAATCAAGCAAAAATAAATAACGCCAGGAAAATAAATAAATAAAAATAAAAAACAAAGGATACACAAACAAAAAAAACACACAACCCTAAAAATACAAGGGTAGACATGACTCTCTTTAGGGAGAATCCCCAGCAGATTCGCAGCTGAAAAATTATAGAGTCGCCACCATCTTTTATTCATTAATAGGGGGAATAATGATAAAACCCTAAAAGAAAGGATAAGACGATCATCATAATCGAATATGGGTTCAGGAGTCAATTAAGTGAGGAGAAGGTGTTAAACACCCCTTACCTCTGTTGTATTCAATGGGAATGTTCTATATGTAGGGTTAAGTGTGTTTCTCTAAGGAATATTTTCCTAATCATTTATTTCTTGCCACCATTTATTTACAAAGAAAATGGTATTCATATAAGGTTAAAGTTGAAAAGATTTAGTTTTTAGGTTAGGGGACTCACCTTGATTTCGCAACCTTGTGCCTATGTATTCTCATTGAATAATGAGAAAATCAGACTCTACATAGTTTGGATATTTGTTGGTTGATTGCTATCATATCCCAAATTTGTCCGCCCTTTTATTTCTACAGTCAGAAATATTTTAAACATTGTTTTTATAATATTATTTGATTTTTATAGATGTTCATTCTCAAATCCAGTCAAAAATATTTTAAACATTGTTTTTATAATATTATTTGATTTTTATAAATATTCTCTTTAAAACCTATTTAAAAATATAATGATTTATTTCAAATTGTTTGTATCTTTAAAATAACAAATATTTGCACACCTTTCATATACTTTCAATTGAGTTTATTTACAAATGAGTAACATATCACAGTTGGTAAAAAATGAAGCTTACAAATATGATGTCGCATGTTTGAATCTTGTCTGTTGCATTTTTAACATTTTTTTTTAAATTTCTTTTGCTACTAATTTTTTCCCCTTTTTTGGATATCAAACTTTGGACTTTCTTTTGAGCTTTTG